ACATGCCTCTAAAAGTAGATGTCATACTCCTTTTGTCTCTTCAAATGTCAAAAAATTTCCTTTGAGAGGCAACTTTAGTTTTTAGGAAAAAAAAAAATCACAAGAAGACAAATTTGAAGAACATGCAGGACGATTGAGTACACATACTTATTTTCGGAACACAAGCGTTCTCCGACTGGTTATTGGAACTGATGAAAAAGATGCATTGTCATGCATACAAAACATTCGGAATAGGTTTTCTGACTGAAAACGTAAGATTAAAAGTCATCTGCTTAATTCACAGTCATTTACAAGTCAACTACTCGGGCAATTGCAGAATCGTTTTGATCCTGAGCTTGTAAGACAAACCTAATATCACTGGATTTAAACACTTCTTTAATCTTCCGAGAACGTTCCTCTTTAGCTCATATTCCAAGAATATTAAGGAATACATTATTGCAAAGCAATTGAATATCATTTGCACTACGGCTTGGTAGTTTACTAACGAGTTAACAAACCTAAATTCTGCTTTTTGTCTAACAATACAACAACATTTTAAAATTTAGAAATAAAATATTAAATTGGAGATTTAAATGGAGCCTCACCAGTTGCCTAGCATTTGAAGATTGCTAAATACTAATTGTTTGTTGCGAGTCAACCAGGCTGCAGGTTGGTTTTCTTATTTCTAGGTTCTCTTAAAAGGTTCTGTATGAAAGCATCTTAATCAATAGCTCCCATGTTTTTCTATGTTCAAAATAACCAATTAACCTAGTTTAGCGCGATTTCTAAGTGAGTTACTAGCAAACCCGAATACTCATTAAAAATCATGTAGCTTGCCAATCGGGAGTAACATGACAAAGATGCGGCGCCAATAATTGAATTGTGCTACGGTACGCTGTGTTTTAAACTAGATGGTAGTTCCTTAATTAAATAGCCCACCAGCGGCCGAGCGGTAAAGACGCTGAACACTGGTAGTTCGGTCCGAGGATCGAATCCCGCGAACGGGGGCTGATGGGCCGGTTTCGTGGTTTTCCCCATGCCGTAACGTGTTACGAGCCAGTTTCCCTTAGAAAATCCTCCACGAAGGAATCCCTCCCTTTAGGCAGATAACCTCGTGTGCTTTGCGATAATTAATAATCCAATCCAATCCAATCCAATCCTTAATTAAATGTAATTGATTTGTAACTTCTGCTAGAGCTGACGGTTAGAATTGAAGTGTAAATTAAATAATATCGTGTGCAACATTTGCAATTATAAGAAGGATATTAATAACCGTAATAATTACTTATTATATTACTAATGATTAGGATTCAGTTCTTGACAATTGCATTCTAAATTAGAAATTTTTAAGAATATAATGAAAAATACGCTACGCACAAAATACATTTTAAGATAAAAAAATTAGTAATTTTTTATGTTTTAAAACTTATTGAATTCATTTAATAAACATCGTATCTCGTTGTTAATTGAATCCAGAATGTTGGGTGTCGTTTATATAATTATTCTTACTTGTCCACAGAATCTGCTGACTTATCCAGCCATTAAGTAGCTGCAGATCATTTCTACACAACCACCGAACTTCCATTAATTCATTCTCTAGAGGGTTGTATGTTTATATCATAATTTGACTTTTATAAAAATGATTATTCTAAATCTTATGTTTCTATAAAATATACTGTGCTTTAAAAATATGTATCAGCCGCTCTTTCAGCCACTTCAAAAGCAACAGTTTGTTTTTAGAAATAAATTATGCAGTTACTGTCATAAAATTCAAAAAACATCAAAACCAAAAATTCTCATTTTAGACAATTCGATTAAAACGAAAGTAAAGCAGCAGACGATAAAACGCGAAGGTAAAATTTTACTCATACAAAAAGTTACTCTATTTATTTTTTTTTTTTAAGATATAGAGAAATTAAAAAAATAGTTAAAAATTTGAATAATACATCTATAATTTAAAAAAATAGCTTTAAATTATAGTATTAATAAATATTTTATTACGCATCATTGAGGGAAAAAATGTCATATAATTAATTCTCCGTAAAATTTTACTTGAAATTTAAGGTTAAAAATAGCTGTGGCAATTCAGTGTAACAAAATCCATAGACCACATTTGGCGTTATTGTCGCTCAAAAAACATGCCAAATTTCAAAACGCGAAAATATGTAAATTCGTGTAATCTTAGAAAATTTTGAATAAAAAATCCTAATTTTTGCAGATATGCTTAAAAATACACCTACTTTAAGATGATGGTAAAAAATTTTATAGGTTATAATTCAAAATTTTTTTTCGAAAAAATTTATAAAAATTATTTAAAATAAATAGAAATTTCAAAAATAAAACACAAAAAAATGGGTAAATTTTATTTGGAATGAACGTAAATTTCGAAATGTGAGAGAAAAAAGAAAAAAAATCAAAAAAGTTTTAATAAAAAAAGGAGATATATAATAAATATTTGCCAAATTCAATTAACATTGAAGAGCTAAAATTTTGAGAGCTAAATATTTTAAAATCTACTCGTACGATTTTTACAAAACTTGGTATTCTGGCATTAATTTGAGTCGTAGAATCGAAAATATGGAAAAAAAATTGGTATGTTATTTCAGAAAAAGTCCAATTTTGTGTCAAAATACCTATTGAATAATTATATTATAAATCTATATATATCCTAAGTCGCGCTTTCGGAATGAAAAACAGGTGAATTTGTCTCGGCACAGTAGACGGGAGATATAGACTGTCCCATTTTTTTTGAGCAGTGTACTGGCACATTTATATACATGAGCAGATGGTACATTGTAGAGTGCCGTTGAGGATAATTGATGCAATTAATTTTATAGTATTTTAAAAATAATGCATTTATACGCAATTATAGGGTGCATAATTGTCATTGGGTACATATACAATAGGCGCATAATACATATACATATTCATATATTAGTTTCTTAATACAATGCTAGGGCAAGTAATTGGTGCTGTTATTTTTACATGTTAACATGATGCTGTAGGCGATTGGATGGATAAACTAATATATATACTAATATACATATACACAACTTTTAGGCACATAATAATCACTAGATTCTCAGACATTAGGTACATGGTATACATATACATATATAAACAGATGGTTCATAATACAGTGCTATGGAAAGTAATAAATGCAGTTAATTTTATAGTAAAATTCTAGTTTAACACTATGCGAAACGGCTTCATGTTACACAGTGTTAAATACTGACGCATGAATACAGTAATATTTCTACTTGTTAATACTATATATATAAAAATATACAAATATTTTAGGTGCATAACTTAACATAGGATACATAATTATTAGATGCACTATGCATATACGTACATAATACATAAGATTAGTACAATGCTGGAACAATTCATTGGTGCTGTTAGTTTTAGTGTAAGATCCTAGTTAGTTTAACGCTATGTGGTACAGTGCCATGCTACAGGATGATATGCGCGGAGCCATGGATTGCAGTTATATACATACTAAAACACGTATACACAATTATTAGGCACGCAGTAATCATTGGATTTATAAGCATATATATACATGGTACATATACAGACGATACATAATATATAAAACAAAATATATATATAATATATATAATAATAATGCTATAGAAGTTAGTTAGTTATGCAATGGGGTTTTTTAGAATTAAGACTTTAGATTAACACTATGCGGTAAAGTGTCATGTTGCGTGATGTTATATTCGGATGCATGGTTACATTATCATATATACGAGGATATATATACATATTATTAGGCACATAGTAATCATTGGGCTCACAATCTTAATGCACATAGTACCTTAGTCTCGTAGACTTGAAAGTACGTAATAAGGTGCTAGGTTCAAATGGTGCTATTAATTTGATGATGCTAAATAATATTAATACAATAATGCAGCAATGATTAATACAGTTAATGATCAATACAGTAACATTTATACTAGAACATATATATACAAATACAAGGCGCATAATTACATTGAGTATAGAAGCATTGGGTGCATTATACATATACATACATAAAACATAACTACATGGTGATGGTACTTAAGATACATTTATAAACAGGTACAGATGGTCCTTATTTACATATTGCGGTACAGATAATAGACATAATTCGTTTGGTTGGCATAATGCAAATTGATTAAATAGTTGATTCTTGCTATATTACTAGGAGTGTTGGATACTCCTTACGATAATTCACAGTTATTTGTGTGGTGTTGGTAGTTGGTGCTAGACACTGAATTACTATTCGTCTATATGGCTAAGTATGGCACAGGTCTGTGTCAAGGTCGGCCAGTTTATCCATTAAAAGCCCTATTTTTCTAACCAAGTGCCTCTGTTTTATCAAAAAACTTACAGAAAGCTTGTCGATTGGTCGACGGAAGGTTGATGTGTAGCCCTTCTGTAAGGGGACAGGAGGTTAGATAATGCTCCGGAGAGCCAGTCTGTCCACAGGCGCACTGGCTAGTGTTACTTATCCCGCGTTTGTTAAAGTACTCGGGAAATGGTCCGTGACCCGTAATGTATCTTACCAATTGCATGTTTGCAAAAATTTTTGGTAGTGTCCACGTAGCTGACATGGTAATAAGTCCGTCGGCCGGTATCGCTGTTATCCCATGTCTGCTGCCATTTCCCGATTGCCTTTAAGCGCAATGTTCTTTTCAGGTAAGACACTGGCCATGGGATGTTGATTTGTTGAGATGTTGCTCCTGTGGCAGCTTCTTTGGCTAGATGGTCAGCCAACTCATTGCCGTGGTGGCCGGCATGCGCTTTGATCCATTCAAGTCTTGTATGGAGTTGGGAAATTTTTTCGCAGATCTTCCTGTATTCCCTGAATAATATCGGAGGATGGGTGGTCAGGGTTTCCTATTGCGTATAGCGAAGAAGAAAGACTGTCTGTCTTTATTGTAGCGTTGCGGGAGTGGTGGGATTGCAGGTAGCGGATTGCTTGCGCAATTGCCACTGCTTCTCCCTGAAAAACGCTATTAAATTGCCTTAGTTGACCCTTCCATTGATCTATGACTGTATCTTGCAGCATGACCACATAGGCACTTCCCACGTTTTCGTCTATCTTCGACCCGTCAGTGAAGATGGTAATCTGTGCTGGACGGTGGGCCGTAGTTGGATTGGTAATTATGCTTATTCCGGTGCCTTTGGCTGCTGCTGGATGGATTTTCAGAGGGCAGCATTTAGCTTCATAGTCCTCTGGATTAAAATATTCTTCGTCAAAGGTGACAGGTCTTTTAAGCTGCAGGACGATTTGTCTTGCTGCCTCCTCTTCGACACGGATGTGTAGGGGAAGGAAGGCCAGCCAGCACGTTGATCGCGTCTGAAGAAGACGTCGTGCGGTAGGCTCTGGTGATACCCAATGCAAAGGGTCTTTGAATGGTAGAAAGGTGTTTAATTTTCCTGCTTTGCATTGGGTGAGCCCATACTGCTGCTGCATAAGTGACTATCTTTTCCACCACTGTGGTGAAGAGGACCTTCTGAATATGAGGATTGAGGCCCCATTTGTGGCCATGAAATAATCGCATTTGCTTCGCTATTGTCACTGTTCTAATTTTGATGTCCTGGATGTGTGGTATCCAGGTCATCTTGTGGTCGAACGTAAGGCCCAGATATTTTAGTTGATTGACTATTTGTATCCTCTGATTGTTGATCTTAATGGTTGGTCTTCTTGAAAGAGAACCTCCCTTTTTAGGTATTAATAACACTTTGGATTTGTGCTCTGCAATTTTCAGTTTAAGGTTGTCACATAGGGCATAGAATTGTTGGCACACTTCGTTACAGTGAGTCTCTAATTCTCTTCGGGTTCGACCTTTCACTATTAGCGCTGCGTCGTCTGCGTAGGCGTAGATCTTTGGTGTGCGCTGGCCATGTAGCTGTTAAAACTTCGTTGAAAGTTAGATTCCACAGGTGTGGACCAGCGCACGACCCTTGTGGACAGCCTCTCGTCTGCTCCTGTTCTATTATGCCTGAGTTGTGAACTGCTAGTAGTCTTCTATCCTGTAGATAGTTGCTTAGCATCTTATACAGGTTGCTCGGACATTTTGCCTTCCGCAGAGCCTGTTTGATAGCCGGCCACCATAATGTATCAAAAGCGTTCTTGAGAGATGTAACTTATCATGGCAGTATGGTGGCCGCTATGTCGATTCTCTAAAATTGCTTCTCTAATGTCGAAGAGTGCGTGGACTGTAGAAGTGCCCGTCCTAAACCCGTATTGTCTCGGCTTAAGAATCCTTGCGTGTGTAAATGGTACCGTAGCCTGTTCATGATAATCCTTTCTAGTACCTTCATTGCCGATAAGAGACAGATAGGACGAAAGGATGGCTCGGGGTTACTTGCCATTATTCTAAACTTTCCAATGTAAGTATACGAACCGCGAGACTGTATTAAAATTTGGATTTACTTATTTGTCAAAAAAGAATTTTTTTAAAAATTTGACATCGCCAAAACATGAATATTTTCGTGATTTAAAAACATTTCGATAACTGGAAGTATATTACTACAAGCAACGATTGCAAAAATAAAGGTCGTGTAGGGACTTTTAAGCCGGATAAAGGATGTTGGTGTACATATACGTGAGCATATACATATACGGTTGGTACAGCTAACCTGCAATATAAAGAGAGAAGCAAGCCTACTCTTTAGAAAATTTCAATATTCTTCGGCTAATCGTTTTTGAGTTATGCGAGATACATACACACATATATTATATCTACATACATACAGAGAACACGAAAAAATCCCTTTTGAATGCATTATAAAATATACTATGAAAAGGAAGAAGTCTTTATTCTGTCCGTATGAGATGTCGCACAAAAATCATCCAAATGGATTCAGATATGGACAAAATGGATATTTCCACTGAAATGTGATACTTGAAAATTTTCGTAATTATAATACTTCCTTTACATAATGTACCTAAATGGGAAATCTTAAAAAGATGAGAATTAGTACCAGAATTCCACAGCTATACTTTTAAGAAGTGGTCGTAAAAAAAAGTGGTTCGCTGAGAACTTCGTTCTAAAAGTTCAAGCAATAACTAAAACATTTTCGAATAAATTGTGTGTGAAAACTGTATGTCCCGTCGTTCAAAAGTAGTGGACTGTAAATTCACTTGATGTTCCCTCAGTTGTAGAACCCAAGAAACCTCAGAGTCATAATGTTGACCGAAACTTACTTTATTGGCTTTACAAACATTAAGTTGGCTGAGGAACGGCGAAGAACAGCTTTTGAAACCTCCGACTTCAGTAGCGGCTCACCAAGCAAACTCAGAAGAAGAACCTCTGCTTAGTTGAAACTCACAGCAACCTAAAAAGCTCTAAACGTCGATGCTTTAAGATCCTAACAAATTTGTGTCTGCGCCGCTCCTCTGGTACAAAGAGAGAAATACAATTTGCATAACATAGAAACAAAAACATTTAACCATATTTTAAAATCATTTATAAAAATATATAAATGTAAAGTTAAATATAAAAATATTCGTTTCAAAGCGATCGTTGACGATTCCATATCTCTTTAGTCTTCCGTTGATGCGGTCATCTTAGAGAGACATTGTGAAAAACCTATATTTACTTATTTTCTCAGAAACATCGGTCATCTTAGGATGGTAATCGACAAGAGGATTTATTGTACCTATATTTTCTTTTTGTAAAATTCTGCGTTTACATTTTCTAGATCTAAATTTAAATTTGATCTTTCTCAAAAAAATAGTGTGAAAATGAATGCATTTCCGTTAATAATCTATTCCGTTAATAACTCTATCTGGCTTTAGGGGTCCAGAGGTAAAGTCGTTGAACGCTGGTAGCTAGACCCAGCACAAAAACACGCTGCTTGAGAATTTTGTGGTTTTTCTAATGTGTAATGTGCGTACGAAACTTTTCCTGAGAAAGTCCTCCCCAAACGCTTCCCTCCCCTTAGGAAAAGAGCCCTAACGTGCTCTTCCAATAATCCAATAAATATAAATACGGTACTGAAATATTACGTAGTTCATCCTGACTTGTGTCATCACAACTAACGAATCGCAACATGCAAAGGATACTTATATAAAAGGATTACTTTGAAGAAGCTGAAGGAAAAAGAACAAAAGAAGTCTTAATTTTATTCAAAGAACATAATATTAGAAATTTCAGACATGCATAAAACTTTTAAATACATTTAATCTAAAGTAAATGCTCCTTTTCCCTTTTTTAATTTTTTAAAAATATATTGTTCATGAAGAACTGCCAATACAACTTTATGAAATGACTTAATTAAATAATAACGTTTAATAGTTAAGTAAATAAATTTAAAATTCTCTTAAAATAAAAAACTGCGTAGTACTCCCATACGTATCATTAATTTTCTACTTCCTTTCAACTTTTCAATGCAAGAGTTCCTTCTTGGATTTTTAGCAAAAAATTATTAATGAAAGGAAATATATGAAATATAGAGGTAAAAATATTCCTCATTCTTACTCGCACCTAGAATTCATTACTCGAATACGCACCAGCACCTTTTAAAAGTAGAAAAGATATATCTGCAGAATAATCGTCATGCGATTATTTTATTTACTCTCTTTTATAGGAATATATTTTCCACGACGATATTTTTAAACTGCGAAGTTTTGGAACCGCTTTCTGTTCTTCGTCGATGTTTTGTACCACGATTGTTTTCTTCGATGATGTTTTAGACTTACGATATGTTTTCCTGCCTTCTTTTCTCCCACATGTTTTCTACAACGAAGTTTCCGTCTTACGTTGTTTTCTCCGCTACGTTTTCGTCCGCGATGTCTTCGTCGGACCTCCTAGAATTCACTCGCAAGCAAGCGAAGTAATCGTTCCATTTAGACTCTTGTCCTTCGACAAAATAATACCTGGCCCATTATGGATTTATGCAAATGTACAGAGACGTATAAGATTATGGGGTTCATTTAAAAATGACTTTTCAGTCCACTTTCATATTAGTTTGATTACCATTAAAAACGAACATGAGAAAGGTGTCTAAAAATTTGCGTCTTATAATTAGGAATTTTTGAATAAGATTACAATCAAATTTTTTTTCTTATGGTTGGCACTTGCCTATGTCGGCATCGTCCTGCCCTAAGGCCAGATCGGTAGTCTCTTTATCATGGAGGCGCCTAGTAGGCGGGCCATCATTGCCTCCTATGAAGGGACAGACAATTTTACATCCATGCCTTCTCCGGGATTCGAACCCGAGCCCTTCGGTATCGCACTCAGTTTTCCCTAACCACCATAACCTGACGCACAATCAGAAATAAAATCTTGTTTAAAGGCTTGCAGCTACAGATTTGATTTTATTCATGACTTATCATTATAGTCGTTAGAATATTTTTTATTTTCATTTATTTTTTTTTTTTTTTAAATTTATTTTTTTTTTTTTTTTTTTTTAGCTTGTACAACGATGATTCAATTTAGTTTTAGTGTTTTTCCAGCATCAAATGCGGTGCGCACATTGATTACAGACATGTTGTTTAAAAAAATAAAATTTAAAAAAAAAAAAAAAAAAAAAAAAAATGCAGAAAATGCAGATCAATTTTTAACAGTGGGAATCAATTTTTCGTAACTATTTCAGTAGTGTCAGTTAGGTCAGACTTGTAGAGATTAATATTAAAATATTAAAACTGAGACTCGGTCTTTCAGAAAGCCTCACAAGTACTTTCTCTCTTTCCATAACAATGTATGTTATTGTCGTTATGATTGATCAATACCAGTATTGATCACCGATAATTTTTAAGAAAATCTGTGATAACTCTTTACCGACTTTTAAACAAAGGAATGAAGCTTATACAGGGTGAGCTGTCAAGTACTTCAGAAACTGTGTTCTTAAACGTTTAAAAATATTTCATATCTTTTAATGAAATACATCTGACACTGAAGCATGTCTCCATTCGATGATGCCACCGATGCTTGAAATTATATTCACAGTTTCAGCATTGTTATAATAAAAATTGTAACCAATGTGCTACTCACTAGTTTTCTCATATACTCCTGCGCTTTATGTACTTTAAAATTACAAACGGCTACAACTGTGTCTCTGTTCACCTTGTTTATTTAATCAAACTACTTTGTCTTTTAACTGACAGAGTGTTGGCTTTATAGTAATATACTTCTCACACTTCTGCTGCTTTGTTTTGTGTTTAAAATGTTTCTTCAGTTTTATTTGGACCGTAAACGCTTCAGGAGAAAGTAATTCAGAAATCTGATTTAGAATGTGCGTGTTTGATGATTTGACTGATTCAGATGCTTGATTATTTTCTGATTATCAAATTAAGTCTAATCAGGCAAGTGCCAATAATTAGGTAATAAATCTATGCAGAATTTTCGTCAGGACTCGTTGGTATGCAAGTAAATAAAATGCTTTCACAAATGAATAAAATACTCCTCATATTACCATTTCGACGTTTCATATACAGATAATTTGACTAAAACCTGATAATAATTT